TTTTTTTTTTTTTTTTTTTTTTTTTTAAGAACACAAAATCTGGCTATATTGTCCAGACTGGCCTTGAGCTCCTGAGGTCAAGTACTCTTCCTTCTCCAGCCCCTCACCCTTATCCTACCCCCTACCCCAGAGTTGGGAGATAGGCATAAGCCTCCCCTGGCTTGCCTGGGAAAACTGTGGTAATGCTGGATTCATCTTAAAATTATTGGACTCCCAGTGACCATGATGGTTACTGTGTGCTGCTGCTGTATCCAGCAGTTTCCCAAATGGCATGCTGGCTGAGTTCAGTGTCAGGAGGAGGATGACAGGAGCTTCTGAAGGTTTTATAAATGTTAGCTATGACAGCATTTTCTGAGAAAGTGTCATACTTCTCTGGAGAGTCCAAGGCCAGGGAGGCACTGCAAGGAAATATGGTTGGAAAGATTCAGTTGCAGAGAACCAAGTGCAGCTTCAAAGAACAGCTGTTTTGGCATTCGGCGTACACGTGTGTGCGTGTGTTTATTGTATGGGTATCAAAGCTGTTATGTTATGGAACATGCACATTCCTCAAGTCTTTACCAACACTTACTCATTATTTTCAGTCTGTATATCATGAAATCTGGTTCCTGCCACAGGTGAGGCATGGGACAGGCCCACTCATCAATGGAGCTTTCTGAATAGGAACAACCTTACAAGGTCCTGAAGACAGTATCATTCAGAGGAAGGCCTCATGTCCAGTCCAGGGACAGTGTCTCAGATGGACAGCAGCATTTTAATTCCCTAGAAATTTCAGTCAGTCTTAGCATGGAGGAATACTTCTGAAGATCAAGAATGAACGAGGTTTGCATGAGCAGTTCTGAACTGTGTAGTGGGTATATGTATTAGTTCTCTACCTCTGCATATGGAATTACAATACACAGAGCAGCTTAAACAGCCCACGTTGCTGACTCAGTTCCCATGGTTGGAATACAGGCCATTGCTTGGCTAGATCTTTGTTTAGGATCTCAAGGCTTCAGACAAGGTATCATCAGGTTGTACTCCTTTATTTTTATTATTATTATTATTATTATTATTATTAATTAATTTTTCCCATCTTGATCACAGTTTCCCCTCCCTCCACTACTTCTAGTCCCTTTTCCCAACCTCCCCCCTTCCACTCCTCCTCCTCCTTTCTTTTCAGAAATGTGCAGGCCCATGTGTATCAGCTAGCCATGGTATATTAATTTGCAGTAAGACTAGACACCTCCTCTTTTATTAAGGCAGGACAAGGCAACCCAGTAGGAGGAAAGGGTTCCAAAGGCAGGTAACAGAGTCAGAGACAGCCCCTGCTGCCACTGTTAGGAGCCCCACCGGAGACCAAGCTACACAACAGTAACATGTGTGCAGAGGGCCTAGGCCAGTTCCATAGACTTCCTAGTTGGCGGTTCAGTCTCTGTGAGGCTACGGGCCTAGGTTAGTTGATTCCTTGGGTTTTCCTGTGATGTCCTTGACCCCTTTGGCTCCTACAATCCTTCCTCCCCCTCTTCCACAGGATTTCCAGAGGTCCGTCTAATGTTTGGCTGTTGGTTTCTGCATCTGTTTCCATCCGTTGCTGGGTGAAGCCTTTCTATGAGAATAGCAGAATGTCACTAGGCATCATTTCATTGACTTTTTTCTTTTTTTGCCAGTCATGTTTGGTTCCGTCTAGGTCTTTGGGCTGTCCAGTCTCGGGTCCTGGCCCTCCAGGTTAGGCCAGGGGTGAGTTCCCGCTCAACGTATGGATCTCAAGCTGGACCAGTCATTGGTTGGTCATTCCCATAATTTCCATGCCACCTTTGTCCCACTGTATCTTGTAGGCAGGGCAAATAGTAGGTCAGAGGTTATGTGAACTTAAGTTTTATGGAGTGCACTGGTATTGGGTGGGGACTGAAGAGGGGCTTGTTTGCTGTGGTTTTGCAGCCTGGAAACAAGTTTTTGGGTTTCTGCCACCCTGGGCCATTAGCCAGGATTCCCCATTCTTTTGTCCTCCCAGCCCCCCCACCCCATGTGTCCCCTGTGGGAGCTTTTCTAATGAACCCAACCCCATGACCCACAGGTGCCCGTGCCCTGTAGGGAACCAGAATGCCAGTCTCTGTCTGTGGCAATCCTCTTCTGAGGGAGGCAGCCGAATGGAAGAGCTGAGTTCAGGATTGCATGTTGCAAGATAACCAAGATGCCTTTGTTCTGGAATTAGAGCTGGAGAAGACCCTGGAGGTCATCTGTCCAGGGCACATGGACTCTCAGATCAATTGTCCCATCTGGAAACTTCCTCAACCATGAACCTCCAGTTCTCTCAGAATTCAAGACTCCCTTCTTCCTGGGGCCCTGGTCCCTCTTCCTTAGTGTCAAATGGGAACTGCCTTTCTCTTGGTAACCTTAACTGTAGGACCAACTCCTCTCTGTCTTCTGTGCTTAGGGCGTAGGTGACACAAGGTTGGGTTCCATGGATTCTCCAGAAGGCTGAGCATCAACTGGTAAAGGTTTCTCCTAAGGAGCAGGCACTCGGTCTATTGTGCCCTTCAGTTACCTCAGCTAGTCCCACATTTTCTGTTTACACTCTTCCTTGAGGTCTTTGCAACTGGACATCCCCCAGCCTGACTCGGGTGTCTTTCTGATCCCACAGCTTCTGTTAAAAAAGTCTCTCCCCTAACCTTAACCCACTCCATGGAAACTTCTGGACCATCCTAAAGATTCCATAGGTCCCCCACCTCGCAACTCCACAACCGCGTCTGCTGAGACGCTCCATTTCAGCTCAGCTTTCACCTGTCTTCTAGACTGAGGGCGTGTCACACCCATGACAATCGTTCCCTCGGCATTTGTGGAAGAGCTCCGCACTTCACTGTGGGTGGTGGGAGGCTTATTTTTATTCCAGTTCCACAACTAAGTCTCTTGCTCGTCCCCCATTCCTCTCACTGACAGCCGACCCTGGGGCTCTGCTTCCTGTTTTGGGAGGTTTCCAGCAGCCAGCGGAATGCAAGTGAGTTTTTAGATCCCACTAGGTTGGGATTGAAGACCTAGCTGAACTGGAGCAGCCGCTGTACCTTCACCTGCCCAGATTTCCAAACCTATTGCAGAAGGAAACAGAACCGGTCTGGTGTGGATTGACTCTCAAAACCGGTTTGCTGGACTGTTTTGCTTTACCTCCATTGTGGGAGGGGGGCTCTCCGAGGAGAGCGAGTCTGAGGTTGTCACGACCCGCCCAGTGCAGCTGTCCCACATACCGATACCCTCCCAGTCCCGTTTCCCCTTCATTGCCAGTCTCTCCTTAAAATTTCAAATGTCTCCCATAAAAATTTCTAATCCATTTAGAGAGTAAAACGCTCCAAATTTATCTCAAGTAGTTCTTTGTAGTTTCAAATAATTGTGCTAGTATATCGCACTTTGCAGAGTTTGGGCAAATGGTTTACCTTAATAAGCTAGAAGCCAGATAAGATATTTAGTATTATTATTAGCTACCATTTACTGATGGCTTCTGAAGGGTCAGGCACTGTTCTTGACATTTAATGTAAATCACCCCACTCAATGTGTACAACAAGGATGAGTTAGGAACCATT